ATCCATCCATCCATCCATTCTTCCATCCATCCATCCATCCATTCTTCCATCCATCCATCCATCCATCCATCTATCCATTCATTCATTCATTCATTCATCCATCCGTCCATCCATCCATTATTCCAACCATTCATCCATCCATCCATCCATTCATTCATTCATCCATCCTTCCATCCATTCATCCATTCTTCCATCCATCCATCCATCCATTCTTCCATCCATCCATCCATCATCCATCCATTCATCCATTCTTCCATCCATCCATTATTCCATCCTTCCAACCATCCAAACTTCCATCCATCAATCCATTCTTCCAACCATCCATCATCCATCCATCCATCCATGCATCCATTCTCCCATCATCCATCCATTCTTCCATCAATCCATCCATCCATCCATCCATCCGTTCTTCCATCCATCCATCCATCCATCCATCCATCCATCCATTCTTCCATCCATCCATGCATCCATCCATCCGTTCATCCATCCATTCTTCCATCCATCCATCCATCCATCCATCCAGCCATATATCTTCTACCGCTTATCCATATTTGGTTTACTGCAGCAACAGACCCAGGAGAGAAAACCACACATCCCTCTCCTCTCTCAAGCTCCTCCCGGGGGATCCCAAGGTATTCTTGGACCAGGGAGGATATATAATACCACCTGTAAGTTCTGGGTCTGCTTCGGGGTCTCTTCCCAGTGGGACATGCCTGGAAAACTTCGAAAGGGAGGCATCTAGGAAGAATCCTAATCAATCTCCTCACCCTATCGCTAAGGCTGAGCCTGGTCACCCTGTGAAGGAAGTTCATTTTGTCTGCCTGTTTCCAGGATATTGTTCTTTCAGTCATGATTCATACCTAATGACCTTTCTTCAAGGTTGGAACTTAAACAAACCAGTAAAATCGAACACTTTGCCTTTCAACACAAAATATCCTGAATCAAACAAACCCCTCGATGCAAACTGTCCAGCACAGTGGTGGAGGTGTCATTGTTTGGGCTTGATTTACAGCCAACCAACTTTGGCACCTTGCAGTCACTGAGACAACCATGAACTGCTCTGTTCGTCCAAGCATTCTGGAGGCAAATGTGAGGTCATCCATCAGGAAATTACTTTATGCAACAAAACGATCTCAAACACATAAAGAAAAGAATCAAGGTATTGTAATAATCCAGCCAAATTTCAAATCTTAATCAAATTAAATTGTTGTAAGACCTTAAGAGTAAATAAAACAACTGATTGCAAGTTTAAAACTAAAACTACGTATTTAGGGTCATACTCAGGTCATTTTAAAATGAGACAGATAGATTTGGGATGTAAAACAGTAGATTAAACTTAATTAAATTGAAATCCTGCAATCTAAAGATAATGGCATTATGTAAAATTATTCTTTTTAGCTCTTCATAGTGAACTGAAGTGCTCCTACAGCTGGTCTGTTCTTTCTAAACTTTTTCATTCTGTTAATACTGCTCAAACTGAAGTTGATCAGAGCAGTAAAGCAGTGCAATAAACCATGATGCAAACTAACGGGCTGCTAAATAACAACAGAGATCAAAAGAAAACTACATAGTCTGATTACAAGTGACTTCTTTTTTATGACTCATCATTACACCATGACTAAGAGCAAACCGTGGCACAATTTTCTCAGACCATGTCAAAACGCACACAGCACATCACACTGCCGCAACAGTCCTGCCGTGTGCATCTTTGTGGCTTTTTCTATGACCATGACAGAATCACAGTCGTAGGCTATGGGCACAAAACCAGAGATGATTGTCTTTCTTCAAAGTCTCAGTGATCAAGTAAAACCTGTGTTGGCAGTCCACAAGTCAAGGTTCCATCTGTGCTTCCCTGAAATCCCCCTTAAGGCCAATATGTTTCCACCACAAAAATAAGCCAACACATTCACCTCTGTCAGTCTGTCCCAGGGCAGCTATGGCTACAATGTAGTTTACCACCATCAATGTGTGAATGACTCTAGTGTAGAGCGCTTTGGAGTCTGTATGGACTTGATAAAATTTTATATATGTTCAGGCCATTTATCATTTTACCACAAACGTTTTGTGCTTACTGTGCTTAAACTACATTTTAGCAATGTTTTGATACAGCTCAGTGGGAACATTTAAATGTAAATTTATATGTTTTTACAGGATCATTTAAAGTAAACATCAATTTAGTTAAACGTCTGTGATACCTGATGAATGTGCAGCAAAGCAAATCATAATAAACATAATTTTTGTTGCAGCCTATATGAGAATGTTATTTTAACTTTGGCATTGGTGCATTATTTTTGCACTCCATTTCCATTATCTGTCTTTGGGCCTCATTAGCTTGGTAGTCAGTTCCACGACCTCATAATCCTCAGGTTGCAGGTTGGAGCCCATATTGGATCAGGAAGCCCATTTGACATAAAACAGTTGCCAGTTTTTTTCATCTGAGTTTGCTTGTTGTGCTGACACCTGCAGAAGGGAGCAGCTGAAAGAAAAAAAAAAACAACAACAACAACAACAACAGCATTTATCTGTCTTTCTCTTCTGCTATTCTCAGGTGTACCAAGCACTGCCACTGTGGTAATCGTAATATGTATTGCCGCCCTGGTGGTTGTTGTGGTACTGGGCATATACCGCATCCATGTGACTCATCAGCAGGATGTGAAGTTGGCAGAGACAAAAAAAGAGACTGACGTGGACTGGGACACCTCAGCTCTGACAATCACAGTCAACCCAATGGAGGTAGGTGGATCTGAAGCTGGAACTGATGCTATTTAAGAGGAAATAACTGGTTTAAAAAAGTGGAGGAATTTCTAAATTGGAAATAGTGTTTTTAATTTTAATGAGTACAGAAAATAGCTTTTGAAAACTGAACTCAAAGAGCACAAAGTAATACAAATAAAAAAAAGAATGTGCTTCTCTTTCCACATGTAAACAAGGACTATAATTAACAGTTTTTAAAAGCACACATTTGTGGCTTAAAAACATTAATGGTAAAATAATTATGACTAGAGAAAAGAGTGACCTGCTTTGCTCAAATATATTTTGTAACTAAAAACAAATATTTGAAGAAAAACAAAATATTCAACTTCGCTTCGAAATTTTGTTTTCACAAGAAAAGAAGTTGTTATGTGGTCAGTGCACCACGTGTTGAAGGTTTGTCTAAAGGTCTTTTCAGCTATCTGAACTAACATACCACAGAGTAGATGTGAAGCATCCAAATAAGTGGAGAAGTTCTCTTTCATTTTGTTCTAAAGGCTCCCACATACTCGAGCGTACTGTGTGGTCTGTGAGCTGCGTGAACTCTGCACATATTGTCCGCGGATGTTTGAGACTTCATACTCGAGCGTACTGACCGCCTGACAAATTCTTGAATTTCTCACAATTTCAGTCATGATGTCAAGGATGAGGAGGAAGAGATAGTTTGCATTTTAGCTTTAAAACAACAACAAAAAAAAAAGAAAAGAATTACCTTACCCAGGATCTGAGCTATTTCCTCCCATGAATTTGTTGCTCGCTGAAATTCCTAATATTCCTTCATTGACACATCATAAAGTTTTCTAATCTCCTCCATGAGACGCTCTTCAAAAGTTGACTCCATTTCATCCACAAATGACACGTGTCATGGTCTAATTATTTATATCTGTTTCCCCTTGACACTGTACATCGCTCTTATCTTTCTGATGGCTCAGACGACTCCACAATGGACTGGTGGGAGTCTTGTGATTGGCTGGACAGTACATTTGGCAATCTGTGATTGGTTKTAAACTGTCACATGGTGTTGACACGATGTATATTATTGACTGAATTCTGCTGACGCGTCCAGTAGCAAGCGTGCAGAACCTTCCTGATTCAGTTCTGTGTGTTTGTTGCTCACAATTAAATCATATTTTGATTATCATATACGCAGACCCTTCTGGTATTATTCCAACGTGTTTCTGCTTTTGCGACCACAACACGATTCTCAACTTTATCAGCTTGGTGTCGCATCCAAAACAGTACTCACCAGGAAGTTTATTAAGCAACACCGCAGACGCAGATGTAGGCTGTGTCCAAAACGACAGGCCGGGTCCTCCAGAGGACCCAGACTACCCTGTCGAGGTGGGCCTGGTCCTTGGTAGACTGGGAAGGCCAGAAAAAAGGAGACTGTGAATTTGGACGGTCTAGCCTCCCCCCACCCTGGCGTACGTCATGTCACCTAGCAACCATGATGATGCTAAACCGAAGCAAAAATAGATCAAAATTAAAAAAGCATCAATATACAGGTCCTTCTCAAAAAATTAGCATACTGTGATAAAGTTCATTATTTTCTGTAATGTACTGATAAACATTAAACTTTTAAATATTTTACATTCATTGCACACCACCTGAAGTAGTTCAAGCCTTTTATTGTTTTAATGTTGATGATTTTGGCAAAAAAGTAAAGAAAAATCAAAAATCCCTATCTCAAAAAATTAGCATATTTCATCCGACCAATAAAAGTAAAGTGTTTTTAATACAAAAAAAGTCAACCATGCACTCAATACTTGGTCGGGAATCATTTTGCAGAAATGTCTGCTTCAGTGTGGCGTGTCATGGAGGCAATCAGCCTGTGGCACTGCTGAGGTGTTATGGAGGCCCAGGATGCTTCGATAGCAGCCTTAA